GGGGTCTTTTGGGGACGTCTCGGGGTCGTCTTGTGGCCGTCTGGAGCCGACGAGAGGCCCTGTAAGGCTGTCTTGGGTCCAGCCGGAGGCCCTCTCGGGTCAGCTTGGGGCTCTCTTGGGGCCGTCCTGTGCCGTGTAGGGGCCCGCATTGGCCGTCTTGAGGCCGTCTGGGGGACATCACGAAGAGTCGCTCGGGCCGTCTTGAGCCGATGGAAGCCCGTGAAGGTGAGAATGCGAACATCTTACAGTGCCTTCAGGAACTCGGTGATTCTGGCCTCCTGCTCGGTCCTGCCGTCGTGAAGCCGTCTTGGCCGGACGTGGCGCCATATGAAGCCGTCTTCGAGGCATCTTGGGCGCTCCATCTTCTGCTTTACAGCCGGGCGCACCATCTCCTGCTTCACAGTCGTGGGCGCTCCGTTTTTCGCTTCTGATTCGGTAATTCCCGAAGGGTTGCCAATCGCGCGGTCTTCTGCCTACGCGCCCTTCCCGATGCTTGGCTCTGCAGTGGTGGTGGTGGTGGTGGTGGAGGCGTCTTGAGTTCATTTTGACTGCCTTGGTGACTCGCCTGGGCCGTCTTGGGGGCCATTTGGGGCATCTCGAGCGCCCTGAGAGGGCGCCAGCAGGGGGCCACATGCGAACCCTACCCCTACCCCCCCCCGATTTCTGAGGGGGACGGTGGGGTTCACTTCGTTCGGGAGCTCCCGAGCGAAGTGAACCCCACCCTTCCGCTCAGAAATCGTGGGGGGCAGGGGTAGGGTTCGCCCCCTACGCCAGGGCGTCGTGGCGCCCAGGGGGGACCCTCGGAAAGGGGTGGGTGGTGCAGGCGCCTGGATGCGGCCCCAGGGGGAGGACCCGCAGAGGATTATCGCAGGCCTAGAGATTGACACCAACACCAATATCGGCGGTGTGCATCCACCGAGGGAGGAAGATCCCGATCTCGGTGATGGTGGTAATATTCTGGCTTCCAAGGTGGCCGAAATATTGCCACCAGCACCGAAATCGAGGATCGTCTTCCCCCTGTGGAGGCAATCCCCTGTGTTGGTGTTGGTGCCCATTTCTAGGCCTCCAAGATTAGAGAAACTCTACAGTCGGGGCGCTGAAGAAGGAACCCTTCTCGTTGGGGAGGGGCTCCGTGCTCCTTCATTGTTTCACAGTTTGCCTTTGTTTTCCGTAGGTGTTCGATGGGAAGTCGAAGTTTAACTCATGGAAAAAAGGGGCCTCGTTCCTTATTTAGGGCTCCTTAGTTCAACACCCCGACTGTACTATTACCAACCTGGGACATCTTCCTATCCCTATGTTCGGCATCGCCTCATCACGACGGCGATCTCAGGGAGTCCCTCAGTTTCTGAGGGTGCATCCCTCAGACTGTCATCTCCTCTTAGCGTGTCAATATTAGGGATAGGGACAAGTTCGAGGCCAGTGATACTAGACAGAACTTGGCATTCTACCACTCACCGTGCCAGGGGGGCACGGTGGCGGACAACACCGAATCGCAAGAACGATGTCGGCTCGGGACCTGGCGGGGGCCCAGCGGGGGCCAGGAGCGGGCCGCGCTGACGGGGTGCGTGGGCCAAGGTCGGGGGGGGGGCGCCTCTCAGGCAAGGTGTAGGAGCGCAGACTTGTTGTTGTTGTGGAGGGGGAGGAGGAGGAAGAGGAGGAGGGGGAGGAGGAGGAGGCGGAGGAGGAGGGGGAAGAGGCGGAGGAAGAGGAGGCGGAGGAGGAGGAGGAGGAGGAGGAGGAGGAGGAGGAGGAGGAGGAGGAGGCGGAGGCGGAGGCGGAGGAGGAGGAGCAGGGCGAGGAGGAGGAGGAGGAGGAGCCAGATCGGGGCGTCGTGGCCTCGTGGGGGCCGCGCTTGGGGGCCCCGATCTGGCTCCTTCTCCTCCTCCTCCTCCTCCTCCTCCTCCTCCTCTTCCCTCTCCTCCGCCCCTCCTCCTCCTCCTCCTCCCCTCCTCTCCTCCTCCTCCTCCTCCTCCTCCTCCTCCTCCTCTAGCGCGCGCCGCCCAGGCCTGCGGGTGGGCCTGCCGTCGCCGGCCCGCTGCCGCTGCCGGTGGGCGCAGCGGCGGGCGCTTCGGCACGGGGGTGGCGGCGGCCCAGACACGATCGCGTCGAAAAAGAAACATATATATATATATATATATATATATATAAAACAACAAACATCAGGGCGGCGGGTTTTCTGCTGTTTTCGGCCTCGTGGGTCCCTCGCCGGGCCTCGGGGCCGTCAAAGAACCACCCAGGACGAAAAACCGGTCCTGGGGAAAGGGTCGGGACTTCCGGGACTCCGTCCTGGGAAAAAATCAGGACGTCGCATGTCTCGGGGCAGAAGCCGACGCTGCCAGCAGGGACCGTGCGACTGCCGTGGGTGACCCTGCTGTCACCCTTCCAGTAAAGGCCCATGCCAAAAAAAAACACCCTTTTTGCCTCCACGGTGCCCTGGGTTTCTTGGCTTTCGATGGTTTTGCGATGGAGAGCGCGACATTCCCACAACAGCAATCAAGGGACGTCCTGGGGTCTCAGGGTTGGGCTTCTTGTGGAAGGCTTCTTGTGGATTTGCCACCACTGCAGCCCCCATCGGGGCCGTCCTCGACCCCTCTCGCACTCTACCATCGTGTCCTAAAATACAGTCGTAACCCGTTGGGCTCAGGCGCGGCTGGCTCTGGAATCGCACCCTCAAGCCTGTGGCGCTGCTGCGACCTGCAGTGTGGTAGCCCCACGATCTAACCTTGGTGTGGCTCCACTGTGTGGTCTCCTTTCGCTGTTGTGGTGTTGCCTCTCGGCCATTGCAGTGCACTGTCACAGCGAGGGGCCTAGGCGTTGCGGCCAACAAAAAATGACGCTGCTGCCGGAGGCGCGCTGGCGACGGCGGCGCGCAGGCGCGGGCGTGGCCGTGGTCGTGCCCGCAGGCGGCGCGGCTGTCGCCGGGCCTGCAGGCGGCGCGGCTGCGGCGCTGGCGCTGCCAGCCTGGGCGGCGCCAGGGGCGGAGTCCCTGCAGACGGCGGCGGGCCGCGTGCGGGCTTTGTGGCTCGTCTGCGGGCCCTCAGCGTCGCTCGGACGCGTGCACGGTTTCTCGGCGAGGGCGATCGAGAGGCATCTTGGATCATGGAGCGACAAGAGAGAAGCGCGCACGACAGCGACAAGTGCACGGGTCATGGACGTGCGAGCGATGGCGGGGGTCGCGGGCTTTGAGGGCCGCGCGGGCTTCTCGTGGCTCGCCCCCGGAGCCTTAGTCTTGTAAGCTTTCTCCGAAGTCACCGACGGCGTTTCAGAAGGCGCGAGGGCTTCTGAGGAACCCGCCGCCTTCTGAAAATGCCTGCCCCCTCTCACTTCCCCTTGAGTTTGCCGCCGATAGGTTGATGGACAGATGGGTGGATGGATAGATGGATGGATACATGGATGGGGTTACGCTGTTGGGATGCACTTCTGGGGGTTGTAGCGTGGCGGCTTGGAACGAAACACTACAGTTATGCGCGTGTCGGGATTTGGAGGGGTGCAGGTTCGGAACCAGGAGGGGGCCAGGTCGGGGATGCATAAAAAGGTAAACACGCGGTATCCAGGTGGGGGGGCAGAAGCCGCCAGGTGGGAGCCAGGCGGTCGGGGTGACCACTTGGGGCTGTAAAGCCGACGGGGGTCGTTAGGGTCAGAAGTTGCGGGTTGGGGGGGCCCGATCAGGTTGGGGCCGTGTGGGTTGGGGTTCTGTTTTATAAGTTGGCGTCAGTGCCTGTGGGGCGTCGATATCGAGACGCACGAAATGCAGTCGGGGCTTGGTGGGGGTCGGACGGATGGGTTGCGGTTTAGAGCTCGAAGCGCAAAAGAGATGTCGGGGTCTGGGTGTGGAAGGGGTCACGGGGATGTTGGACGCGGGCCCAGGTTTGTGCGCAGATGGGGCCGCGACGTGGTTATTCAATACCTGTGGGTGGGAGGCAGCAGACCAAGGCGCAGAAGCGAACTCGGCGGGGAGGGCACCTCCGATACAGTCACACGGGGGAGCCTCGAGAGTATAGTTTTTCGATGAGTTTCGCCTCGGCCCCTGCAAGCGCTCTTGCGCGTCTTGGGCGTGTTCGAGGCGTGCGGTGGATCGTGGAGCCGCCTGGGGCCGAAGCGCCACCCGTGCGCAGGGGTTCCCTTTTTCCTTCCTCCTGGCTCTCCTCGCCCCCCCAGGCCACGACACCCGCTGGACGTCAGTCTCCATACCCCCCCCCAGGTCTCGGATCGACCCGGAACGGGCCCCCAGTGGCCGACATCGAGGAGAAGGTGCTCGAACCTCGAACTTCGGACCTTTGGCAACTCCCCTCCTCTTCGACCTCCACTTCCTTCTCCTCCTCCTCCTTTTTCTGTTCCTCGAACAACCTCTCTTCCTCGACCTCCTCGACCTCCTCGATTTCCTCCTCCTCTTCGTCCTCCTCAAAAACTCGTCCTTGAGAGATCGATGCCCCCCGCCTCCATATAGCAAGCGTGCCTTGTCACATATCATCCACAGGTTTTCGACCCGTCGACACCCTGCGGATTTGCACAGGCACGAGGATTTGTTGTCTCAGCGTCGTCTGCAGCATTCAGATCCTGAGCTCCACTGGTTGCAGCTCCAACCTGTTTGGATTTTCCAATAAAAGTTCGTCACTTTTCATACGTTCTCTTTGCGCTTGCGCGCTCTCCCCGCCGTGATCCCCTCATGGGGTGGGCGTTTTGGGGTTTGCGCGATGCGAGTGCTGGCGTCGGGCCTGGGGCCTGAGCCGTTTTGAGTGGCCGTTGGCGCTGAGCGCGACGGACTCCTCCGAGGCTGCGTACTCCTCCTCCTCCTCCCCGGCCTCGACCTCCTCGACCTCCTCGACCTCCTCGACCTCCTCGACTTCCTCGATATCCTCCTCCTCCTCCTCCTCCTCCTCCTCGTCCTCCTCCTCGTCCTCCTCCTCGAACCTCGAGCCTTGGTTCTCGAACCTCGAGAGCCTGGTTTTCTGCTCCTCGTCGTCGCGCCCTTCGTCGTCGTGACCTCTCCACGGCGCCAGGACCTTCTGCGCGCCTCGGCGCTCTACGGCGACGCTACCGCCATCCTCTCCGACTGCCTGCAAGCGGGCCTGAGCGCAGTGCCCGAGGAGGCAGCGGAGTTGAGGCACTTCGAGAGGAGGTGGGGGAGGTGGGCGAGGATGGCGATGGGGAGGAAGAGGAGTGGGAGGGGGGAACAGTCGGAGGAGGCAGATGAGGAGGCGAAGGGGAGGAGGGTTTGGAGGGTAAGGACAAGAGAAGGGGCTGATCAGTATGATGGTGGTGGTGATGATGATGATGCTGCGGATTGGGATGATTATCATGACGATTAGGGTGGTGATGATGAAGTTGATGATGCTGTTAATGCTGATGTTGATGCTGCTGCTGATGGTGATGCTGCTGCTGATGATGATGATGCTGATGGTGCTGATGGTGCTGATGATTCTGATGATGATGCTGCTGCTGATGGTTTGCTGATGGTGGTGATGGGGATGGGGATGGGGATGGTGATGGGGATGGTTACGATGGTGGTGGTTACGGTGGTGGTTGTCGTGGTCGCGGTTGTGGTGATGGTGATGGTGGTACTGGTGGTGATGATGAGCATGCTGCTGCTGATGATGATGCTACTTATAATGATGATGCTGATGATGATGTTGATGATTATTATGATGATGCTGATGATGATGATTATGCTGATGATGCTGATGCTGATGCTGATGATGCTGCTGTTGATTATCATGCTGATGCTGTTGATGATGATGATGATGTTGATTATGATACTTATGATGATGCTGATGATGATGATGATGATGATGATGATGATGATGACGATGACGATGCCGATGATGATGTCGATGATGATGATGCTGCTGCTGCTCATGATAATGCTGATGATGATCATGCTGATGCTGATGCTGCTGATGACGATGATGATGATGATGATGATGATGATGATGATGGCACCGGCGATATCCGATGCGGATGGCAATAGTAATGAGGATGCTTATGGTCATAATGATTACGATGGACAGTGCGTAAACCACAATGCCCGTTCGCCGACCAGGGTTCAGTAGGGTTACCGCCGAAGCCCTCGCGAGCCACGAGACACCGAAGGCTTCCCGGTGGTACCCAGAAACAGGCAGCGGCAGCCACTTCGACCGCCGACCCAGAATTTTGAAGCGGATCTAGCAATGGCGGCGATTGAGGGCCCTGATGTTGCCTTTTGCCGACACGACGACGGCGGCGACGACGACGGATCCAGCAGTGGCGGCGATGGGCGGTCCTGATGTTCCCTCTTGCCGCCGTTGATCATCTTCCCGCAGGGGGCAGGAAAGGCAAGGGGACGACGATAACAACGATCACAGCGATAACGGTAACAACGTTGTTATCGTTGATCGTTATCGCTGTCGATCATGATCATCGTTGTTATCGTTGGCTTCGCGTCTGTTTTGGCTCGAGCTGCGAGCGATCTAGCAACAGCTGTACGACCCTCCCCTCCAGAGACTCGGCGCAATGAAGATGGCGGTCGCAGCGATCCTCTGCGTTGCCTCCTCGATGACCCTGGCCAGTGCCTCCGCCGAACAGGTGAACCCTATCGGCAAGGTGCTGGAGATGCTCTCGGACCTGCAGGCGAAGGTCATCAAGGAGGGCGAGGGGTCGCAGAAAGTGTACGAGGAGTTCTCGGAGTGGTGCGAGGAGAGCAACAAGCGCCTGGCCTTCGAGATCAAGACTGGGAAGGCTGAGGCGAAGGAGCTCGAGGCCGTCATCAGCGAGGAGACCGCCCTCATCGAGTCTCTCACCACCAAGGCCGAGGACCTCGCCCAGAAGATCTCCGTCGACGAGACGGACCTGGAGCAGGCGGCTCACATCAGGAGCGCTGAGGCTGCAGCGTTCGCGGCGGAGAAGTCCGAGCTCGACGACATCATCGACACGCTCTCCCGCGCCATTGGTATCCTCCAGAAGCACGCGAGCGCGGCGCTGCTGCAGTCCACGGGCACGACCCACCTGGTAGAGGCGCTGAACGTGATGGTGCAGGTCGGGCGGGACTAGGACCAGGATAAATCGGTCCAGAGCGTCCCGGAACACTCGGAGCGTTCTGGAGTGCTCGGAAACGGCCGCGGCGCCCATGTCTTCCAGAACGGACGGATCTCAGTGATCTCTGTCTGAGCTGTCCCTTTCCGATGTTATCCCTGTCCCAGTTTCGTCTTAGCAGGCGTCCGGCTTCAGCTCCTCGGACGCCCAGAAGCTGACGGCGCTCGTGCAGCAGTCGGAGGACTCGGAGGGCGACAACGAGGGCGCCCCCAGCGCGTCGGTGTACGAGGGCCATAGCGGCGGCATCCTTGACGTGCTGCAGGACCTGCTCGACAAGGCCAACGTGCAGTTGAAGAGCGCCCAGAACAAGGACGGGATGGCAGGCAGCATACACCGACCCCCACGAGCCGAAGCAAACGCCATAAAAACAAAAACATAAACTTTCGGAGCTCCGCTCGGATATCTTGGATCGGCGCTGGGCTCTCTCCCTGGTGCGCGGAGCGCGCCGGGGTCGGCGCCGCCCAGCGTCGATCCAAGAAATGAAATGTGTGTCTGTGCTGCTGTTTGTTCCTGGAAAAACCGCGTTCTGCGGTGTTGGTACCGTCCAGATGTTCGGGTCGCTTTTGGAAACACCGCCAGCCAGTGCCTGTTTTGGCGAGCGCCCTGGCAGTTCGGAGCACGAGCACATGAGGAGAGCGAGAGAGCGAGAGAGAGAGAGAGAGAGAGAAAAACAGAGGGAGAGAGTGATGCATGAATATGCCCATGTAGATGTGAGCGTAGATTTACATGTACATGTACATGTATATGTGCATGTTTCTATCAACGTGGACGCAACCATATACATACATGTACATATCTGTGCATGAATATAGATGCATATGCGGATCTGGAATGCATGCATGTATTATGTAGGTGCTGTACATGTTTACATATGTGTGCATATACATGTAGGTGTGTGAGTTTATTGGCACAAGCATGTATACGTGTATGCATATGTGTATGTACCTGTATATGTAATTCTGTACGCATATGTATATGTTCATGTATGCATAGACGTATATGCATCGGTTTCTGCATATACGCATACATTTGGCTAGGCATATGTATACGCCGATCTACATATACTTATATATACACAGATGCACTTATACATGCATATCTGTACAACTATATGTATTTGTATGCCTCACCGGTAATGCACAGGTATATATTTACATATATATACGTGTGTGTGTGTGTGTGTGCGAATGCATTTGCATGTGTATATGTGTATACGGATTTGTACATGTATGTGAACATATTTCTGTTTATGTACAGTTGTGGCCTCTGGCCAATGCCGCCGATCCTTGGCGCTGCTGATGTTATCGGGACTGGACGGTAACGACGAGAACGGACGGCCAACGATCGACGAGCGGGATAATTACGACGACGATCGACGAACGGGGTAATGACGACGATTAGCGACGACGATGACGACGACGATGATGACGACGACGACGACAAACACGACCACAAACACGAACACGAACACGAACACGAACACGAATACGACTACGACTTCAACGACGACGACGACGACCATAACTCGTGTCCGAGCAATGCCACGTCATACCATGCACCTCTTGCCTGGCAGTGCGCGAATGAGCGCCTCTTGGGGCCTCTGGGCTCTTGGGGACTTCTGGAGGCCTTCGGGGCCCTCCGGGGCCCTTCGGGGCTTCTTGGGGTTCTCTTGGGGGCCTCTTGGAGATCTCTTGGGGGCCTAGGGGGGCCTCTTGGGTTTTGTTGAGGTGGAGGACTGGAATGGTCAGTTCGGGTTCATCCTCTCAAGGCCACTGGGGGTCCTCTGGGGGTCGTCTTGGGAGCTCACTGGGCTATCTTGGGGCCGTATTGGGCCGTCCTGGCTCTTCCTCGGGGCCTCTTCCGCGCCGGACCGGCGAAACCGGAGAACTGGCGCCCCCCCCCCTTCCCCGCCCCCCCCTCTTCCACACCCTGAGAATTGGAGTCCCCCCCCCCCCCGGAACCAGAAAACTGGCGCACCCCCCCTTCCCGCCCCTCCCCCCGCCGGAACCCGAGAACTGGCGCCCCCCCCCCGGGGAACGAGACCCCCTCCAATCCCCCCTCTCTGGCAGAGCTACCCCGGCCCCCCTCCCAGCTGAGCTGAAGCTTCCGCTCTTTGTTGAAGCGTGAGCTTGAGCTTGAGCTTCGCAGATGTATATGTGCATACTTCTGTATATGTGTAAATGTATGTGTATATGTACTTGTATGTGTAGATGCACACGTATCTACATATATATGTATATGTACAGATATGTGCACTGGTATGTGTATTCGTAAATGTATATGCATGCGTATATGCACATGGGCATGTCTATGTATATGTTCATGTTTTTGTACAGGTATAGATGTAGGCATATGCACGTGTATGTGTTTTTATGTATCACCTTATGTCTATGTATTCGTGTATGTATATGTATATGTACATGTGTATATATATACACACACTAATAGGTGTATGTATCTATATATACGTACATGTGTATGTGCATATATACATACATATATATATATGTATATGTGCGTATGCATCTGCATAGATGTATGTACTCAAATACATGGGCATGCATACGTATCTGTATATGCTCATGTGCATGTATATGTATGTTCCCCAATCAGAGCTTGCCTCTGTAGGGGTCCTAGCGGATTCATATGGTCAGGTTAGGTTTGCCGCCGATTTTCGCTGCACGCCCGGGTGCCCGGGTGCCCTGGGGTGCCCGGGTGCCCAGGGGTGCCCTATAGCCCTATAGCCCTAGAGCTTTATAGTCCAACAGCCCGATAGCCCTATAGCCCATACATCCATATAGCCCAATCGCCCATATAGCGCCCAAGAGCTCATATAGCCCTATAGCCCTATAACCCTGCAGCCCTAAGCATATTATGATTGGGGATGTTCTCCGGTATCATGTTTATGTTTAAGGTGTATGTACATGTATATCAATATGTAAGTTTATGAAAGTTTAGGTATGGTTGCATGAATGATTGTCTGGCATCCTGCCTGTCTGCCTGTCCGTCTTTCTGTATGCGTATCTGTATGTCTGTATGTTTGTGTATACGCATGTATGTATGCTTGCACGCATAATTTTGTGTATGAATGCATGCATGTATGTATGTTTGCATGCATGTATGTTATTGTATGTTTGTATGTATGTGTATATTTGTTTCCCTTTATATGTGTACATCTCTCTACACATGCAGCTACACATCCATCCACAAGTACATCTGTGCACACTTGAATACATGTACATATGCGATATGTTATGTCATGACTTGCGTTGACTTGAAATGCTATGCCATGTCATGCTATGCTATGGTTTGCTTTGACATGACGTGATGAGGTATGCCACGACACGATACGATATGACATGACATGACATGATCTGGCATGATACATCTATCTCTCTCTCTCTCTGGCTACGGGGTTCTGGGGCCCCAGCCCAGGGATCCCGACTGCGCATGGCCGCCCGGGGCTCCTGAGCTTCCCAAGACCGCCCGAAGACGGCCCCGAGACACGACACGAGGGTCCCAAGAGGCCCCCAACACGGTCCCAGGGAGCCGAGGGGCGCCGAAATGTCGTTCCAAGACTCCCAAGCTGGCCCAAGCGACCTTCAAGAGCACTCCCAGAAGGGCCCCAAGAGGCACAACTTTTGGATTGTTCGTTTATTTCTGATGGATTGTCGCGTTTCTGCTTTTTCGCCTTCCCGACGCTCCAAGACGGTTTTAGATGCCCCAGTCTTTGCCCCAACACGGCTTCAGAGGCTCCCAAGGGGGCGCCGAGACGGACCAAGAGGCCCTTTGGACTGCCCAAGAGGCCTCCAAGGCAGCCCAAGAGGGCCTCCAGAACGGGCCAAGAGTGATCTCGGAAGGGGAGCACGAACCGACATTTCGAGCTCCCCTTGAGGCCCCAAGAGGCTCCAAGCGGCTCCCAAGAAGCTCCCAAGAGGCCCCAAGAAGTCCCCAGGAGGCCCCCAGGAAGCCTGAGGAGGCTCCCAAGAGGCCCTCAAGAGCTCCCCCCCAGACGCCCTGAGGCGCTCCTGACGATCCTCGACGCCGTCCCATCACCGAGTGCCAGTTGCATCCGATGTCGCGCTCGCCTGCCCGACTCAATGTTTCTTTCGCCCATCGTCATCGTCGTCGTCCTCGTCTTCTAGACGCCTCGCGTAATCCCGCCATCCTATGCGTGCACCCTGGCAGTACTGTCTTCCAGTTTCCCGCCAGCCTTTTCCACTCGCCGGCCGCCGCTGAGGTGCTGCGTGAGGCTCCGGCCCACCGCTTTAGGTTAATTCGTCTTTGCGCGCCCCGCTCTGACTGGACTCGCCGCTGGCGCGCTCGCCTGCGGCCGCTGACTAGAAAATAATCCCGCCAGCCCAGAGAGAGCTCGGGGAGTGCTTCAGCGGCATCTGGCACCAGTGGGTCAGCGAGCACCCCCCAGGAACAGCCTCGCCTGCGCAGACCCCTTCGGGCAGGATCCCGAGTCGTGCGAAGACCTCCTCCGGGCATGGCGTCGCCACGACCACAGCCCGCTTGCCATGGACAGGGCCCTCCGCCTGCGAGTCAGCTGGACGGTCATCCGCGAGAAGCTCGCCAATCGGGGGAAAAAAGGGCGCCCCGCGCAAGGGCAAGGGGAAGGACCACCGCGCGGCCAGCACGTCCTGGCACCGAGACCAGGGGGCTTCCAGCCGTGCCTCGAGCAACCGCCGGCCCTGGGAGCCTCGGTGAGCCCCTCCCGCCCGGGTCGGTGCCCCCACCGCCGCTGCACGCACGCGGCGTCGGTCCGCCAATCCCCTCTGTCAGGGGTCTGCACACTAGACTTATGATGTTCCAACCTACTTTAGCCTTGATCACCAGGAACAATTTCGAGCGCCCAAAAAAGTACCAACATTCAAAGGTTTTCACGTGTCGGGCCCTGGGAAACACTCGCCCGACACTGTTTTCGACACTGTTTCGGCACTCTTTTGACACTTTTCGGGGTGTTCAAAATTATTTCTGGGATGTAACACTGTTTTCGACATGGCACTAGACCCATTGGCAGCCGGCGCCGCTGAGCACCCACTCCAGGACGTGCGCCCCTGCCGCCACGTCCCCCTTGGCACCGTGGGTGCCCGGGTGCCAGGGCTGCCGTCCCCGCTCCCGGTCAGGTCCTGCGCTGCCGGGCTCGGGTGTCCGCAGCTTGCGCCTCGCTCCTGTTCACGACCTGGAGCCGCAGCGCTGCAGCTCTGGCACGCACCCCCGCTGAGTGCGCGGCCCACTTCCCAGCGGCCCCCCGCCGGGCCCCTTCGGCGCCCCCCTGCGGGGTCCCCGCCCTTCACGCGCCGCTTACCCCAGCACATGCGACCGTTAGTTGCGGCGCTCTCCTGTGCCTCCGCCGCCTCGGCCACTCCTTACCAGTACTTGCGACCGTTAGTCGCCTCTCCGCTTTCCCTCGCGAGCGGCCCTCGCCGCCCCCTTCCTTTGCCTCGCACTCCGCCGTGCGCCACACAAGTACTTACGAGCGTTAGTCGCCTCTGCGTCCGCCCCCGCTGCGGCTGCCGCCCTCCCCTTGCGGGCGCCCGCGCTCCTGCCGGGCTCCCGCGTTCCAAGCGCTTCGCCTTCGGGCCCCCCCCCCCGCCCCTGCCCACGGATCCCCTCGCCCGCCCTCCCCGCGGCCCCCCCTGGGGCCGCCTTGGCCTCGCGCCCAACACCGCCTGGCGCGTGCCCCAGCTGGGGCTGTCGGCTCGCGCCTTGTCCCCCAGTGCGCCCTTGTCACTGGTCTAGCTTGTGGCTCTTCGCTCCTTGGCGCCAGGCCACCCCCCGTGCCCCCCACCCAGCGTGGGCCGCTCGGGGCCCCCTCGGCGCTCTGCCCCCGTCCCGGGCCCTGGGGCCCCAGACGCGTCGGAGGCGTTTCGCTGCCGTGGCCCAGCTCGCCACGGCGCCCCCGCCCAGCGGCCTATGCTCCGCACGAAAGCGCCGCCTGGGCCCCACCTTCTGCTGCACGGCCGGCGCGGGCCGTCCCTTTCGGCCGTCCGCCCGCCCTTTGCTGCCCCCTCCGCCTCGGCCTCTCCGCCCCCTGCGGCTCTTGGCCTGCGGCGGCATCCCTCGCCGGCCTGGGGCCTGCCGACCTCTCGGTCGCCCCCCGAGGGTGGATCGTGGGGCGCGGGGCGCGCGGGAGCGCCGGGATCCGGCGCGCACCTTTTCGCGCGCACGCGCCCAGCAAATTTCTTTTGAACGGCAGCAGTTTTCGCGCGAATCGTTGTCGCGCGGACGGCGGACCCTCTCGCCCCCCACCGTGCGAGTTTCCTGGCCGGCCCCCAAGCAGGATCCAGCTCGCTCGCGGCTGGACGCCTCCCTGGCGCGCCTCCAGGGCCTGCGGTCGAGTGGATCGGTCCCTGCCCGGTGATGCGAGCGCCCGCCCGCGTCCCCCGCCTCGCGGAACGCGGGCTCGACATCAGTCCTCGACGGTGTCTGGCGATCCGGACCTTGGTCCGTTGAGCGCCTGCACGTGGGTTGGTCGACGCCTTGCTATAGGGGTGTCGGAAAGGGCTATAGGTGCGTGTTGTCGGATGGGGGTCCCCACTCGAACGGGAGAGTTCCCTAGGGTCCGACAGCCCGCACCCATACCCATAGCCAGTCCTCCTCCCAACGACCCCCTTATGGGTATGGGTGTGTGTTGTTCGTTCGTCACTGGCGGCGCGTGGGATACGCCCGCTGCCCGTGCGACGAGGCGACCGTTGGTCCTGCCGGTGCGTCTACGAGCCGGTGATCACTGGTTTCCGGCACGCTCGCGGTGTCGCCCAGCCAGAAGTCTCCGCCAGTTTGGCGTTGCATCCTGGTTTCAGAGCGTGAATTACCTACCCCGCTTTCGCTTCCAGGCAAAACCAAGCCATACCACGCGCCCCCTCGTCGAGCGGCCTGACCAGTGCAGGCTGCAATTTGGCATCGTTTGGTATCTCTTGGAAGCGAGGGTGGTCAAAAGCGAGGTAGGCTTGTCTTTCCCTAGTGGCTGGCGGCGTCCCCCCCCGCGCCCTCCTCTTGAGCGGCGGCGAGGCCCGCCTCCCGTCTGTTCCTCCCTCCGCTGTCCTCTCGTCGCCTCCTCCTTCCCCCTCCTGTTGCGCAATTTATCACCACCCACCAATCCACCCCAACCCAGACCGAGGGCTTCAATTGATCCTCGATTTCCAGTGGGGGGGGGGGGTCGTGGAACATCGAGAAAACACATTTGGACCCCGCACGCCCATCCAGAACCGAGGCCCAGACGAGTTGCCCTGATCAGGGATGTGGAGGAGAATCCTGTGGAAGAGAGGGCTGGGTAAGACGTCGTACTCCATGAGGGGGAGGATGGAGGAGGAACCGCAGGAGGTGCAGGAGGAGGAGGAGGAGGCCAGAGGCCTCTTGGATGCTTCTCGGAGTCTGCTCGGATTTTATTCGAAAGGTTTTTGGGGTGCTCTTGGGGCGTCTTGGGGGTCTTTGGGCAGCCCCTGCGGCCTCTTGAGGCGAATTGGGTGCCCCAAGGGGCCCTTTGGAACCTCTTGGGGATCTCCTGGGAGCCTCTTGGGGGCATCTTGGGGGAATCGTGTGGGCCTCTTGGGGCATCCTGGGCACCTCTTGGGGTCGTCTTGGGGCATCTTTACGAGTTTCGGGGACCATCTGGGAGCCATCTAAGAGGAGATTGATCCAAGGAGGTGGGCTCTTTACTCAGGGTCCCTTCTCCAGGAGGCTCACATGTGGCCAATAACTTGGTCAAATCAATGATTGGGCCTTCTCTCCGATGCCTTTCTGGGGCGTCTGGGGTGCCTCTGGGGGGCCTCTTTAGAGCCTCTTGAGGGTCTTTTGGGGCCTCCTAGGGGCATCTTGAGGGCCTCCTGGGGGCATCTTGAAGGCCTTCTGGGGGCCTCTTGGGGCCTCTTCGGCACCTCTTGGGGACCTCCTTGATCGGAAACCATCTTGGATGAGATCGGTCAAAGAGGGGCCGTAGTACATTAGGGTTCCCCTTCAGGAGGCCCAAATGAGGCCAAAACCTATTGTGAAATGAATGATGTTGGCCTCCTCGCCGAGGCCTCTTTTGCCGTCTTGGGCTCCTCTGGGGGGCATCTCGGGGGCCTCTTGGGGGTCTGTTGGAAGACTGCTGGGGTGTAGCGAGCCGTCGGCGAGCTGCCGACCGCACTTTTCCCGAAATTCCGTAGGGCGTTCTACGGGAACCTCATTGCAACCAGAAGCCCTCCTGGGAGCCTTCCCGTGATCAAAGCAGTTTTTTACAGCTCCCCGAGGCATCGCAACCGCTTCGGCCCGATCGTGAACGGTTGTGATCCGTCTGAAGTGGTCCATGGTCGGCCCGAAGTGGTTGCGATCCGCCCCTGACCCGGAGGGAAGGGACAGGTGGGAGGGACAGGTGGGAGAGAAAGGGACAGGTGGGAGAGAAAGGGATGGAACACGACAGAGATTTGCAGGAGGGGGTCACAGTCAACCCGCGTAGCAAGGACGGGCAACCTTCCCGAGGGTACCCTTGCATCCTTGCCTCCTCGGTCCGTCCTTGGCCAGTTTCGTGGGCCACGCCCCGCTCGGAAAGCTCCGAAAACGGCCTTCCAAGGCCCTCGCATCCTTGCCGCGCGTCCTCACTATGCGGGTTCGCTGCAGGAGCCCTGGCATCGCTCGGACGTGTGCATTTTCCCTTCGGCGAGGACCATCGAGGAGCATCCTTGACCATTTGGCGAAAAAACCACGCACGAAACCGAACAAAACACAGGAAATGTACGTCCGAGCGATGGCCAGAAGCAGCAAAGGCAAGCGGCAGCACCGGACGGGCGGGTCGGGCGCCGCAGGGCGGGGCCCGGGCGGCGGGGTCGAGCGGGCGGGTCGCGGAAGCGTCAGTCCTGCACGGGTCGCGAGGGGCCCTCGAGTGCAACTGCGACTGGCAAGGATCGCCCCCCCCATCTCGGCGAAGCTATGGCACTCCCCGCCCCTGGAAGTGGTGTCCCGCCCCTGGGACCATGAGAACGGGATCCCACCAAGTTCATGATCTGATCGCATTAAGACTCCAATCGGATTCCAATCGGATTCTTCTAGGATTCCTCAAGTTTCCTCTTCTGATGTACGCACGGGTCTGGACCCGGCTTCAGATCCGGAATCGGATCCGGATTGGGATTTGTAAACCCGTGATCCCAATCCACGCCCCTGAATGCACAGGTCTCGACTTATTCCTCTGATGTTCGCACGGATTTGGACCAGGATCCGGATCCAGATCCAGATTGGGATAATCCAAATCCGTGACCCCAATCAGAACCCCTGAGTGCACAGATCTACGGTTATTCTTCTGCTATGCGCACGGCTCTGGACCCAGCTCCAGATCCAGATCCAGAGTGGGATTTTCTGAATTCGTGATCCCCATCCCCGCCCCTGAGCGCGCAGGTCTGCGTTTGTACTTCTGATGTGCGCAGATCCGGAGTGGAATAATCCGAACTCGTGATTCCAATCCCCGTCCCTGAGTGTACAGGTCTCAGCTTATTATCCGGATGTGCGTACGGATCAGGACCCGGATCTGCATGCAGATTTTGATCGGGATAATCCGAACCGTGATCCCAATCGCCACCCCCTGAGTAAACAGGTTTAAGATTATTCTTCTGTTCACACGGGTTTGAGCCTGGCTCCGGATCTGCGAAACGCACCATCCTTTGGAAACGTACTATCCTTTGGATTGGGATCCGGGGATCGAGCTGGATTGACGACAGATCCGACGATGACAGTTGGTGACCACCAAGGCCCCAAGGGATAAGCTCTGTGGTGAGATTTAATGTTTGGCCACCGTTAGAACTCTCGGGTTGCCTCCCCTCTCCCACCCCTTCCACTCTGGTGCATTCTACCAGCTGGTGCATTTGACTTGCTGGTGCATTTTGCCATTCCGCCGGCCCATATTGCGCGCCGTTGTCAATTGACCGAGTGGTCTTTCGCGGTGCGGAGCTGCAGGGGCGACGGCGGTTTTTGTTCAGGCTTTGCGTTCGGCATGTGAGGCTTCTTGGTGGCCGCTGGGGGAGTCCTGAATGCGTCGCGGGCCTTCTCGAAGCGTTTTGCCTACGGGGACTCTTTCGGGAGGCCTCTTGGTGGCCTCTTGGGGACTCTTAAACGCGTCAGGTCGTTGGCACTTGCTTGCGTGCTTGGGGGGGCATTTGGGGGGCCTCCTGGGGCCGCTTGGGGGCCTCGTGGGGGCCTCCTGAGGGCCTGTCGGGGGCCTCTTAGTGGCCTCTCCGTAGCCATTTGGCTCAAGATGGTGTGCTCGGGAGGCTTTCAGCCTCCGTGCATTCACGAGAGCTGCCGCTGCAGCAACCTCCAGTGCCCTTGTGGGCTCGTATCGGCGCGTGGGGCGCACCGATGGCGGGCGGCGAGAACGACTGGGAGGTTAAGGGCGGCGGTCGGCGCAACAAGAAGCAGAAGCCGTCTCTGGTGTGGACAGTCGGAGGCAAAGGCGGAGGCTCGTCCTGGGTGGGGGCGGGCCCGAGTGACTCATGGACGTGCGGGGCTTGCGGTACAGGTGCGAACTGGAGTACGCGTACGTCTTGTCGTGCCTGTGGCGCGGGTCGCCCTGGGTACAAAGGCAAGGGCAAGGTCACTTCCACGCCTGAGGTGGGGCAGTGGCTCCGCACCTCCTTCCCACCGGTGGCGGCCAGGCCTTGGCGTGCGGCTGCGGAGGCCAAGGCGCCTACGGCTTTGCAGAAGCTCGAGGAGCGCAGGAAGGTCCTGGTCCAGTGCGCCAAGGACTGGGGGGGCGACGCGCCTCACCTCGACCAGGCGGTGGCCGACATCGACAGGCAGATCCAGGACGCCAAGGCGGAGCGGACGCAGGCGAAGCCGTTGTCTGGCCAGTTGCGCGAGGCGCAGGTCCAGCTGGGGCAGATCGACAGGCAGCTTGAGCGCTTGGCCGAGACCGAGAGGAAGGCCAACCAGATGCTGCTCGAGGTCAAGAAGGAGAGGGACGAGGCTGCGAAGCGCAAGGAGGAGCTGGCCACCACGATCCTGGAGCTCCAGGGGAAGATTGCGGTGGCGGGCCCAGCGGCCCCAGCCTCCAACCTCGACGTCATCCGAGTGCAGTTGGAGTGCATCGCCAAGTCCGTCGGCAGCGACATCCAGTCCCTCGGCCTCAACTTCGCCACGCTCGAGTCCCTCCTGGAGGCCAAGGCCAAGGAAGGGACAGCAAAGGCTGAGGCTGCTGATGCTGGTGCTGCTAAGCAGCCTGGTCAGGCTGACGACGGGGACGGAACAGAAGACGAATCCATGGGAGACATCGCGGGGGCTGAGGAGTTGCCACCAGGTGTCACCGAGACCGAACGTAAGTGGATCAACGGGCAGGAGCCAGTGCCCGACCAGGAGGAGAACCCGCACCTGTTCAAGCGGTACCAAGAGGTGCTCATGTCGGTGCACTCTAGCCAGTTGGCCAAGAGACAACGGAAAGGGTAGCTTGCCGTGCGACCTATTGTTCCTGGTGCTCAATGGGACACACCTCGGCTACCCCGAGTCGCCGTGGAGAGGCGCAGTCCAGGTGCAGCTGCGCCAGAGCGGGAAGACCCTCCCTTGGGATGACAGCCGCTGGAACCCTGTGGGGTGGGAGGCGGAGATCGGGGGGAGCGAGAGCGAACGGCACCGACGGGACGTAGTGCAGATGGATGATGAGCGTGGCGAGTGCGCAGCAGCGGGAGCCAGCCAGAGGGCGGGAAGTGTGGCCAGGTCCACGCCCGCGGGGCCAGTGCGCGGCCCATGGCCTGCGGCATTGGCGAGGAGTGAGCACGGTGCCTTGAGGGCGGGAAGTGTGGCCAGGTCCACGCCCGTGGGGCCGTCGCGCGGCCTTGTGCCTGCGGCGACGGCGAGGAGTCAGGGGGAAGACTCGGACCAGTGGCGAGGGTACGCGAGGGTCCTGCACGACAACCGCATGATGTGGCACTTGGCTGACAAGGCGAACGACGACAAGCAGGTGGTCATTGTGTGGACCTTCAACGGCTCGGGATGGGGGACCATCAGAGAGAAGCTCTTGGAGAAGAAGGTGGGGCAGCAGAAGCACATCTACGCTTTCCAGGAGCACCGCCTGAAGGAGGACCAGTGGGCTGGAGTGACCCACAGTTTGCGTCAGAGAGGCTACCAAGTGGGTGGAGCGGTGGCGGTGCCCACGCTAGGCCCCATGGGTGAGCCAGGTACCTCTGCAGGAGTGGGAATCGCTGTGCCGAACAGGATTGGCATGGCGTATGTGTGTGGGCAGACCAGCTGGGACTGGTCCCCCAGAGGATCCCCAGGAAGAGCTGCAGCGGCATGGGTTGCAGTAGGTAGAGGCGGCATCGTGGTGGCGACCGTGTACCTGTGGACGGCCGAGCAGATGTCGCGGCGGAACAGGGGGCTGATGGACCACGTGTTGGGGAAGCTGCACGAGCTCAACATGCCGTGGGTGTTGTGCGGGGACTTCCAGAATGCCCCTGCCGTCCTGGCGGGTTTGGATTCGATCAAGCTCATTGGCGCGACGCTGGTGGCCCCCTCTGTTGCGAGCGGAACTTGTCGGTCTGCGAGTGGATGTTCCACAATAGACTATTTCGTAGTATCGAGGGAGTTGGCAGGCCAAGTGAGGAAGGTGGCCATCCACGAGTCTTGGCCTTCGGCGCCGCATAAGCCAGTGGGGATCACGCTCGACCTGAGGCCGCAGGAGAGGAAGGAGCGGATTCTCGTCACGCCGAAGAAGTTGGAAGGAATCGCCATCGGGTGCGCGCCCGAGCCGCCCGTATACAACGAGGTGGGGGTTTTCAGCGACGTGACGGTAGCGACCAGGACCTGGGCCTCCTTCATCGGCAAGCTGGAGCGCGAGGCTTTCGCGCTGCGGGGGCTGGAGTGGCACCCCAGGCATGAGTGCGCAGGGCGTGCGGATCCACCGCGCTGGAAAGAGAGAGCGATCCTCAGAGGAGGCGGCAACCACCCAGCCCCGCAAGGAGACGCTCTGTGGTGGCGGTGGCTCGCGCGCTCCTTGCAGACCCTGGCGGGGAACTACGAGAGGCTCAGGTCGTCTTCGGGTAGTGCCCGTGCGCGCCAGGAGTGGTGCATGATAGCTAGTGACCTGGAGGAGCGCTTCAGGAGCGTGAGCCACGAGTTCAGGTGTGAGCTGGTCGGCGAGGAGAAGGAGCGGTGGGGAGAAAGGTGTACCCTGCTAGCGAAAGGGCGCTTGCGAGGTGCTGACCAGAAAGCCAGCCTGGACGCGATGATCCTGGAGGCCAAGGAGCGGTCCAAGCGGGAGGACGAACCTGATAAATGAAAGAAGGAGGCAGTGGGCTGCGAAGCTGGAGGAGGCTGCGAAAGGAGCAGCGGGCGGACTCCACAGAATCAGCAAACCAGTGGACATTTGGAGGCCGAGAAGAGCGAGTACACCCCAAGCTTCGGCAGACCCGCTGCGGGCAGCGGAAGCGGCCCTGGGAGAGTGGAACGCAGTCTGGAAGGTGAACGACCCGATGCAGGAGCAGGAGCGGCGGTGGGAGACCGAGCCGCGTCAGGAGTTGCCAGATTTCACAGAGAGCGACTTGGCCAAGTTAAAGAAAGTGGCGCGCACCTTCAAGAGAAGGACAGCTCAAGGAGTGGACCGCTGGCACCCCGCCATGTTGCAAGGGGCTTCGGACGCAGCGCACTGGACGCTCCTGCAGATCCTGAGGGAGGTGGAGCGCACGCTCGTCTGGCCGCAGCATGCAGCCACGGTCGTTTTCTTCCTGATCCCGAAGAGTGTAGCGGTCGATCGTGCCATCGGCCTCCTCCCGACCCTGGTGAGGGTGTGGGAGATCATGAGGGAGCCCTACATGGTCGAGTGGGCCAAGGCGAACCAGCGCTCTTGGGATTGCACGGCCTTCGGCAAGGCGGCGGAGGATGCGGCTTGGGAGGTTCTCCTCGCCAACGAGGGCGACGAGGTGCAGGACTCGGACCCGCGCACCCTAGCGACGGTGACGGCCATCCTTGACCTGGTCAAGGCTTTCGAGAGGGTGAGCTTGCATGTGCTGTGGGAGCGTGGCAAGGCCATGGGTTTCAACACGGGGGTGCTGGCGGTGGTGTGCTCCTACTTTGCCATGGCGAGGCGAGTCAACACGGGGGGGGCCATCTCGGAGGAGACGAGGACTGTGGCTACGATCACCGCGGGCAGCAAGTTCTCGGTGGGTTTCCTCAAGATGGTCATTCAGGACACGATTGACGGTTTGGTTGTGGAGTACCCACTGGTGCAATGGAGGATGTATGTTGACGACTTGTGCCTCAAGCAGCGAGGGGCGCAGCAGTGGATCGTGGACAGCTTCCCGTCCGTTGTGGACGATAGCGTGGACGGCTTCGCGGCCCTGGGGCTCGAGTTCTCCTTGGGCGACCAGGGCAAGGGGGCGGTCATGGCCAGCACCAAGTGGCTGAGGCAGGCTCTCAAGCAGGATGCAGCAGAGAGAGGGTTGCCTTTGGTGCTGGCCTGCCCCTACCTCGGAGTCGACGCGGTGGCCCACGGGACGGCGGCAAAGAACAAGAGTGGCAAGAGGTTCAAGCGCATGAGGAACAGGGTCGCCAGGCTAAAGGGGCTGAAGGGCTCAGGCAAAGGTGTGACTAGAGGGATCGGCTTGGTGTACAAGTGCGGCCTCAAAAGGTCGGTTATGCATGGGTGCAAGTGCCTGGGCATGCCAGACCACCAGCTGCAGCAGGTAAGGAGAGCGGCAGGCCATTTGCTTCCAGGTTCGAGAGGAGCCAAGAGCCTCACCCTGCAGTTGGCGGTGCTGAAGGAGGACCCCACCGAGGAGGCCACGCTTGCGCCAGTGGTCAGGTGGGCGAGGGCCGTCTGGGAGCAGGCCGTGGCAGGAGACCTGAGAGTGCTCGGTGCAGGGGGCCAGGGGCAGGCGCCACCCTGTCGTCAGCAGGCCTTCTGTCCTGAGGAGGGTGCCAGGCTCAGGGATGCCCTCGGTGTCTGGACGGCTTTGTGGATCAAGGATCTGAGGGGCGAGAAGCACCAGCGGCAGGAGGACTGGAGCCAGTGGAGTGTTCCCTTGGTTGCGGAGTACCTGCAGGAGGCAGCGCAGGCAGGCCTCCGCAGTGAACTCAGGAGGGAGGCGGCTGCCAAGGCCACAGGCGGAAGCTTGCCCCAGGAGGAGGCTCAGGAGGCGGAGTGTCTTGCTGCAGAGGTGTGTCGGCGGGCGTGGCGGAGGGCGTGCTGGAGAAGGCGTGCAGCCTTCCGCTACCTCGACGTGCTCGACGATGATTGCCGCGCCCAGGTCATCTCGCAGTACAGGCAGGAGCAGGTCGCGCTGCAGAAGGTGGTGCGGCGGCTGCTGGTGTCGAGAAGGGCGCAATGTCCTTGGGAAGCAAGCGAAGGAGGCATGCAGGAAGAGGAAGGCTACCTCGGCGTCAGCACCATTGAGAGCCTGGTCGAGCTGCTGCTGGTGGCGGGCAGCCAAATGGAGATCGCGGAGGACAAGATAAGCAGGAGGACGAGGGTCGGCAGTGAGGCTGTCCTCCTGAGCGAGCAGATGAGCAACGCGTGGAGGCAGCAGCAGAAGGAGGTGGGCATGAGCCCGCAGTGGGCCAAGGTCAAAGGTCCTGCGGGGGCGGTCATCATGTCACTGAGGAGAGCGAGGTGGACCTGGCCGTCGTGGACGGTCTACTGCACCATGGACGGCGAGATGGTGGACCTCACGGCGGTGTGCCCCGCTGACGTTGGGGCGCTCCTCAGGGCTGACCTGCGCAAGGTGCTATGGGAGCAGTGGACGGCGCAGCAGCCAGGCATGGAGAGCCTAGCCCCAGGCCCGAGGCTCCCGCCAGTGGCGGCGCAGCTGGCCGCGCGGGCTTTCCCTGCGCATGCGAAGCGGGCGGCTAGGAAGGTGGTGCTGGCGGGGGCCTGGACCATGAACAGGCTCGCCGAGGTCAGCATCACGCCGACCGACATCTGTATTGGGTGCGGGCTGGCGGTCGGCACCCCGCACCATCGTTTCTTTCGGTGCCCCGCGCTGCTCGAGGTCAGGAGGCGAGCGCAGGCGGAGTGGCAGCACGCGGCGGAGCAGCAGGAGGATAGCTTGCTCTGGACGCGCGGGCTGGCGCGGGACCCCTCGGCGGACTGGGCCCACAGGACGGTCGACGAGGCGGACTTCCACTGCGACGTCCTCCAGGGGACGGACGCCCTCCTGTCGGGCGACATCGTGTGCGACGGCTCCAAGCTGGGCACCAGCTGCTGGGCGCAGGCGGGGTGGGCCGCGATGGCCATCGATGCGGGAGGCGCTCCCACGGTGCAGCTCTGGGGCCCCCTGCCATGCCGATTCAAGGGGCAGAAGACGGTCAAGAGGGCCGAGATGTGGGCCTTCTTGAAGACCTTGGAGACGGTGCTGCCACCGTGCAGGATCTTCACGGACCACCAGGGCATCCTTGACGGCATCAGGAGGGGGCCGAGGTGGTGTTTAAGCTGGGGAAGGCCGCACGCGGACGTTTGGAGGAGGATCTGGCACAAGATCGCGGACGTGGGGCTTGAGCCAGAATGGGTGATGCACGTAAAGGCCCACAGGTCCAGAGCGGCCATCAGCAGGCTCGAGGGCTTGGCGCAGCAAGTGGCCAGGGGCAATGAGGCGGTGGACGCCCTGGCCAAGCGTGGGGCCGCGGAGGACTTCGGGTACGGCAGGGGGCAGACCCTGGAGAGCCTGGGCGAGAAGGTGAAGTGGGCCATCCAGAACATCGGCTGGTGGTACCAGGAGATGAAGGAAGGGTGGCCCGACGTGCCGCCCAGGACGGGGCCGAGCAGAAGGAGGAAGCAGCAGAGGCCCTACGTCAGCCTCACGAGGCACGAGGTCGAGGTGTGTGGAGCTTGGCTGGTGTGTACGCGGTGCGGCAAGCGTGCAGCTTCGGCCAGGATGAGGAAGAAGCTGTGGGCCTCCGCTTGCGCACCCCCTCCCTGGCAGGCGGTGGGCCACCAGTCCAGCGAGGAGGGGGGCTCGCTGGAGGCTAGAGTGGGAGCCGCATGCGCGCGGAGGCAGAGGGCGGCAAGCCAGGAGGCATCCACGGCTGCAGGGCGTGGGGCCGGCGGCGCCTTGGGGGGGCGGCGGCGGCCTGCGCCGGCGTGGCGGTGGCGGCGGCAGCTGCAGGCGAAGATGAGGGGGATGACGGCAGTGCTGCAGGGAGGTCACCTCGGAGGTCGAGGTCGCCTCGGAGATACAGGGAGGCGGTGGACGTGCCGGTCCTCGAGGGCCCGCCGAGCGCTGAGGAGGACCTCAGGAGGGCGCATGTCGTGGAGGTCGTCGGCCCCTACGTCGTCTGCCGCGCGTGCGGGGCCCACTCGGCGGTGAGGAGGGCCAGCTTGGGCTGCGCCTGCCCTGGGCCCCTGCCGCCGCGAGGGGCCGACGGAGGAGCGGATTCCAGGAGGAAGAGGCGGGGCCGCATCCTCCGCGGGTGCCACCCGCAGACGGGCAGGCCGCTCCCCGCCGAGATGGTGCCCACGAGGAGAGGTGGGTGAGGCCCGCGGGCCTCGCGGGGCCGCACTGAGCTCAGTGCGGCAAGCCTCCAGCGTGGCGGAGTCCGCGGCGCTGGATCTGGGGTGAAAAAAAAAAAGGCCTCTTAGTGGCCTCTGGGGACTCCTGGGGGCTTCTTAGCGCCGAGGGCTCGAAATGTTGTTTCGTGTTCCCCCCCTGGGACCTCTCTTGGGGCGTTCTTGGGGCCTTCTTGGGCCGTCTTGGAGGCCTCTTGGGCCGTCTTGGGGCCCTGTTGGGCCGTCTTGGTGCCCTCTTGGGGGCCTCTTGGGCCCTCCTGGGGCGGTCTTGGGGGCCTCTTGCTTGGGCCGTCTTGGGGTGTCGGGAAGCCGAAAAGGTGGGAACGCCAAAATCTCTCCCAAACCTGAGGGAAAGCACTGATTTTTGCCTCTTGGGGCCCTCTAGAGAGTGCTCTTGGAGGCCTCTTGGGCCGCCTAGGAGCCATCTTGGGCGTCTTGGAGCGATCTTGTGGCATCTCGGAGCTTTCTTGTATCTTGAGGGGCTCTGGGCGGCCTCTTGGCCTTCTTTGGGGCTCTCTGGACGGCCTGAAGGATGGCGCCCAGGAGGGAAACTATCTCTGACCCGAGTCTCCCGGCACCTGCCTTGGGTACGTTTCGTCCGGGACCCCCCAGGGCCGCCCCGCGCGCGCGAAGTAGAATTATTGTAAAGCAGTTACCGGAGGTCTTAGCACGCCTCTGGCCCGTTGGGCCGGCGAATTCTTTTGCTGGTTGGTGTGTTCTTTCTTTTATTCTTAGTGTCTTCCCACCGTAGGTTTACATTGACCTCCGATTAACGAGTCCTTATTGGAAACCTCCTCGCAGGACCGCGAAAAGGAGCTGTCATTGTAGGATTGCCAGGCGGCAGCAGCAGCAGCAGCATGAAATGTGCATTGCGACTCTCGCTTGGGCGGTTTTGTCCGATACGCGCTCTTGCCAGGGACGCTGGTCGAGATGTCTTGCAGCGCTGCAAATCCCACCAGACGTCCGATTGGCGAGTCCGTGCTGGAAACTTTTTTTGCAGGACCCTGGGCTTTTAAAATCCTTACACGACGCAAGGGCATGACAAGATCGCCACAGAAGGGCCTGGCTCCAAGAGGGCGTCCAGACGGCCTAACAGGTCGCCATGACGGCCGACGATATCACCAAAACGGTTCAAGAAGCCCACAATACCGCCACTAACAGGGGTCCACAAGGAGGAAGTCGATCGGGCTTCGGGAGCCGTGCGCCCAAGACGGCCCTTACTACCTCCGAGCTCGCCCCTGGACGGCCCAAAGAGCCCCAAGAGGGCCCAAACTGGGCCTAAGATGATTCAAGAGGGCCCCAAGAGGGCCCCCAAAGCGGCCCAAGACGTCCTGAGAGGGCACTCGAAGGAACACAGCACGGTCGAAGGTATCCAAGAGGATCCCAAGACGGCCCAAGATGGGCCCCACATGGCCCCAGCACAGCCCCAAGAGGGCTCAAAGACAGCTCAAGAGACCCCCAAAACGGTCCAAAGGTTTCCAACATGGCCCAGGCTGCTCCCAAGGCGGCTCCAACAACGGATGCCAAATGCCCTTACTACCGCATTTCCAGCAGGCGTCCAAGAGGCTTCAAAGCGGCTTATGGACGGCTGGAGGTGGCGCGGACGCTCATCAATAATGCCCCCCGAGAAGCCAGAGTCCTCGAATTGGAAGCCTTGCCAGTGCGATCCCGAATGGTTTTGTTGATTTTGTTGCACCTTGGCTGGGCCCCCTAGATGCGTGACCATGAAGGGAGGGGGTGTCTTTCGGTACTCCATGGTGTGGCCCTGGTGGCGTGCACTTCGGACTCAGACTCGGGCACAGATCTTTGTTGCGAAGCTCCTCCTGGTCCTCTGGTGGATCCAAAGAAGCGCAAGACGCGTCGAAAACAAAAACCCAGGACTCCCCGACGCGTCGCTGGGATCCCAAACGTTCATTGCCGCAGATCCCTCTACCACCCCTGAAGGATCTCCAGAATCGCCCTTGCATTCCTCATTGGCAACTTGCGACGCGTGTTCCTTGGGCGCGGCTAGCACCTAAGCGCGCGCGCGAAGCGCGCGCGTGGTCTGGTATCTAATGGCCTTCGGCCCATCCTGCGACCGTGCTTAGTTTGTCGGTATGAAGCCTATTGATGTTCGTTGGGGTCTAGTGGGAGGTTTCTCGGGGGCCTCCTGTTGGCAGTTTGGACGCCTCTTGGGGGCCGTTGGGCGTTTGGGGGCCTGTTGGGGTATATTTCGGGCCTGTTGGATGCCTCTTGGGGGCCTCTTGGGGTCTCTTGGGGGCCTGTTGGGGGCCTCTTGGAGCCTCCTGGATGCGTTTTGGGGCCTCCTGGGGGCCTCATGGGGTGGAAGGCTCGGATTTTCGGTTCGTGCTCCCTCTTTGAGCTCCTTTTGGGGCTGTTTTGGTGGTGCCGTTTTGGGGCCCTTTTGCGTCGTTTCGGGTGCCTCTTGGGCTGTCTTGGGGCCCTCTTGGGCCGTTTGGGGGTCCTGTTGGAGGGAGGCCTCTTGGGCTGCCTTGGGGCGGTCTTGGGGATCTCCACGGCCGTCTGGGAGCGTCGGGAAGCCGGAAAGGCGAGACGGCCGAAATCCTTAAAACGTTTACGGGAAATTCATGATTCACGCCTCTTGGGGCCCTCTTGGCAGGCCTCTTTGGGGCGTCTTTGGGCGTCTTGGATGCCTCTTGTGCCCATCTTGGGCGAGCTGGAGCGACCGTTCGGCGACTCGGGGCCCTCTTGGACCGTCTTGGGGGCCTCTTGGGACCCTCTTGGCCCGTCTCGGGGCCCGCTTGGGGCCGAACAAGTCACGCGGGGAACCGCGAGAAGCCCCAGGAGATTTGGGCCGAGCGGCTCCGAACCCCCTAAACACTCCCCAGGAGTGACGACCGAGACGGGATTGGGCAAAGGGTCTGAGGACACGGACACCGTGCCCAGCGGCATGGTGGCGGATATACACAAACATATATGTATATGTATATGTATAGGTATATGTATAGGTATATATGTATATGTATATGTATATATATATATGTACATATCTATGTATATGTATATGTATATGTATATGTATATGTATACGTATATGTATATGTATACGTATAGGTATATGTATGTGTATATGTATAGGCATGTATATATGTATATGTATATGTACATGTATATGTTTGTGTATATGTATAGGTATGTGTATATGTGTATGTATATGTATATGTATATGTATATATAAATGTACATGTACAGGTATAGGCATATATACATATATCTGTATATATATAGGTATATATAGATGTATATGTATACGTATATGTATTTGCACATGTAGATGTATATGTATATGTATATGTATATGTGCATGTATATGTACATGTACATGTACATGTACATATACATGTACACGTACATGTATATGTATATGTATAGGTATATGTATATGTATATGTATATATATACAAATGCACATGTACGTTTATTTATAGGTATATCTACACATATATGCACATACATACGCAGATATACATGTATCAATGGTACTCAGGACGTGTGTTGTCCCAGCATGTGTTCACCCCGTGTTGCCCGCGTCGGCCCTCGTTGCACCGCTTGCGTCACATTGAAGGGCTTCGGCGGGTCAGCACACGTTGGCGCTGACACAGCTTCTGACGACAAGCGCGCATTACAACCACACAGACATAAACGACAAGAGACGCTTACGTCACATTGAAGAGCTTCGGTTGGCAAGCACACTTTGGCGCGGACACACTTCCTGATGAGCGGCGCGTAGCACATCCATACAAACATTCAGGAACAGAAAAGCCAACACGCCCCACGTTCCACTCACATACAAACATCAACAGCAGCAAGCACAGCAACATAAACAACCACAAGCAAAACATAGCACGCTCGCGTGATATACACATATTTATGTGTATATATACACATACAACACAGACAAACCACAACACCAACACACAAACAAACAAACGAACAAGCAAAAACGAGAGGCGGGGGGCCGCCTTCTTGGAGGGCCGCCCCAGTGGACCCTGACCCCTTTGGTTACGCGCAGCCGAGGTTTGGCACCAGCACCGGAAGGGGTACAGTCAACCCGCACAGTACGGATGGGCAACCTTCCCAAGGGTACCCTTGCATCCTTGCATCTTCGGTCCATCCTTCGCCGCTTTCGCTGGCCGCGCCCCGCCCGACAAGCTTCGAAATGGGCGTCCAAGGCCCCTGCATCCTTATCCCGCATCCTTGCTATACGTGTTGACTGTATTCTCTCGCCACCGCTCTGACTCGGCGGCGAGCGAGGGGGGGAAGTGAGAAGGAGAAGACCTTGACAGAAGGCGGCGGAGCGGTCCGGGGGGGGCGAGCTAGAAGGCGAGGCGCCCAGACTTCGACGGTGTAAGTCGGGCCTGTCCCTCTACAGGGGGAATCTACTTAAACATCGCAGAACATAGGCTGGGGACGATTTTTGGAGTACCTTTGTTTTTTTTGCCTTTCTTGGCCTGTCTGTGGCTTTCGTTTTAGGCTCCGCCTGGAAGAGGACGCGCCCGACCGAGGCGAGAGTGTGAGCAGACCCCGAGGCGTGCACGCGTCCTGCGGCTGCGGCCTCCCAGGGGTGGCCTCCAGGTCCCGGAGCTGCCGTCGGGTAGGAATCCTCGACGCCTCGCGTAGCCCCACCAGTGCTCAGCCAGCTCCCCTTCAGCCCGCGGCCCCACCGGCGGCTGCTTCTGAGTGCGGGCGCGGCCGCTGTGATTTTAGGCTTGCGTGTTGCTAATTTGACAGGCCCGTGGCCCGGACCTCTCAGTTCGGCGACTGCGAATCCGCGTCCGCCCGCGAGAATAAAAAAAATAGCCCCACCAGTGACATTTTCTCTCTCGGTGTTGTCCTTGGCCGTCGTTGACTCTCCGACGCGTGACGCCCGACTGACTTGTTGCTGTGCACACGGCAGGTCCCCTCAGCTCAGCCCCGGCACCCCCCCCCCCTGAGGCCTCGGCCGCGCTTAGTTGTCGCCTCGCCCGTCGCTCTGTTGGTTTTCCCGCGTTTCTCTTGCCTTGTCCGCCTCGGCCTCTTGCGTGCACACTC